GGGACAGACGGTCGCGGGTTCGATCCCAGCTCCGACCTGAGAATTCTGCTGTTGTGCCCTTGGGCGTGACACCTAACCCGCCTTGCCTGCTGGTGATGGGGAGGGGCCGGTGGCACCACTGCTCAGCAGCCACGCCTCTGTCAGTGTAGCTACATCGTAGCTCACCCCCACCAGCGTGTGAATGGGTGAATGACTGACTGTGTTGTGAAGCACCTTGGGGGATTGTAGAACCCTAGTGTGTTTACATGCAGTCAGTAACCCTTTTAAAACCCGAATATTCACAATAACCCGGTTCCGCAGGTCCATGTAAACACCGCCAAAAACCCGGATATGCTCATAACCGGGTTTTTAAAAACCTGGTTACTACACCTGGGGTAACCCTTTTCTAACCCGAATGTTTGGTCGTGTAAACGCATACCGGGATATCCCCATCAAAGCGTGTGTTCTGCGCATGCTCTGTTCGCAAGGAATCTTGGTCTTTTGAGTAGCGAGACGTCTTGTATGCGCCAGAACACCGGAAGTAAACAACAAGTTGGGAGCAACATGGCGAGTCGCGGCACAGCACCACACTTTTGGAGTGTCGAGGAAACTAAAGCGCAAACAAATGCGGTCGCTATCTCTTCCGAACTGGGAAACATGTTGTTGTTTTCACGGATACCGGAACGAGAAGAACCAGAAATGACGAATATTGTGTCTGGACGTAGTCCACACGTCCTGACGCTACCCCAACGTCCGCATTTAAATCTGGTTATGCAAGTTAGGGGTAACTCTTTCTATTTATGCTTGTAAACGGGTTATTCTGATCAACTCAGAAACCCAAATGCCGACCTTAACCCGATCATAACCCGGATATTGACTGCATGTAAACGTAAGGCGCTGTATAAATACAGGTCCTTTACAATTCACACCAAAGGTTTACTTAATAAAAGTGAATTCATGAGTGTTCAAGGGGTCTGATATGCATCACTGCACCCCTGGGTGGGCATGGCGAGCAACAGTTTGTACTAAAGTGAGAGACCTGAAATGGCTCATTCTGGATGGTACTAAAAATCTCAATAATAGAGCTAGTGAGATTTCTTTATTTGACAGGGATTTTGTGTAAAGAACTTTATGAACCTGTTTTTCTTTGACCACAGACTTTTGATTGCTCCTTCAACCCTCTAAATCAGGGATTCCCAAAGTGTGGTGCGCGCACCCCCAGGGGTGCGCAAGCTGCCGCTAGGGGGTGCGCGAGGTGAAAAGTGTAATGGCTGCGGAGCTCAGAGAAGTCTGTCATATGTCACCATTAGCGTAGAAACTCATTTGTGGGTGGGCCAAAGAAAAAGTAAGTGGGCCCAATAAATGTAATTGAAAACAAGTATATTTTTGCGCTTGTGTGTCCTCCGCATGTGCGCTAGCTTCATAATAACAATACGCCGAGCTTCAGCACTCTGGCCTGCGCACGCCGACATGTTCCGTATTTGATCATTTTTAACGGTGTTGGAGAAATCTGAAGGTGGTGAGTCATTCTGGCAGATTGTAATTAACACCTGTCTCATGCAGGTGCTCTGACGTTGTAAACCTCACACAGAACATTGTGGATGTAACTAAATAACAAGAAATGATTCCCATTCAGGCTATTGACAGCGTGCCGGAGATCTGAAGTTCAGAGTGCGTCTGTCAGAGGTCAGACGCGTGCCAGCGGAACCACGGCTCACGGGTGCACAAGTGAGCACATCTGGGCTGGGCAGAAGTCATTTTACAACATTGGTTTAAATAGCGCGAGACGCGGTGACTTGAGCGGCTGTGCCGCGCGCGCACACACACACACACACAGATTCAATAAGTGCACACGCTGCTTTAACTCCGGCGCGCCGTCAGACTGAAGGCAGAAATGAACGCTGCCTCCACCGTGATAAAAACTTTTAAGAGGTTATTTTTCATTCAAGGTCAAATTAAGATATTAGCTTCTGGGATGAGTCGGGTCCGCTCCAGCCAGTGACTCCTCATGAACCTGACCACAACTCCTGTTACTGCACCATTTGTTATTCCAGTCAGCGTGACAGCAGATCGCAGATTCAGCCACACCATAAAACAGCAATAAGTCGGTCTGAGGCAAAAGTGAACATCATGGCTATATCTTGTCCCCTATTGACATTTGATTACGCACAAGTAGGTGATCCGTTCAGGTTTACGCAGAGCAGAGGGAAGGAGAGCGCTCTGGCCGCACAGGTTAAACGTTCCTACTTTAAGAAAACCGTTAAATTGCATTCTTTATGTGCTACCTGGGCACATAAAGGAAATTGTAATGGTATCAAATGTTTATTAATCACTATTTTAAAAATGAAAGTGATGGGGAATTTTTTTAACCCTTTCTGTTTAGCTTGACATCTGATATATATATATATATATATATATATATGTGCGTCGACATGGTCGGGACATAGAAGGGGGTGCGCGGCTAAATAAGTTTGGGAACCACTGCTCTAAATGTGCAGTATGTAAGAATATAGTGAGAATTTTACAGTGGAAAAATCCCAAAAGACTCTAATGTTTAAGTCATTTTGGAAGGAAGGTTATACTGAAACATATTTTATTTCCAGCTGGCTGCCGGGACTGTCGGCCTTTCTCCTTTCAAAGCAAAGGAAGGAGGGACGTAGCTACTGTTCACCATCAGTGAGGGTGGGGTTGTCGTGTCTCCTGCAAGCTAATGCTGCAGCACCACAATTGTAATTTGACGAAGGCTGGCAAAAAGCTCCAGAGTTGTTTAACGTGGCTGCAGTAACCAAATGTTACCACAGGGTGTCATTTTTACTAAATTTCTACATAATGCACCTTTAAAGCACAACTTTACTCATACTTTCAATACATCTGCAGTGATTTCTAGTATGAATGAATGCCTTGAGAAATTGTACTCTTTTGAAAAAAAGCTCCGGTGAGAATGTAGAAGTCAGCCAGAGTTTCAGACGACAGGCTTTTAGAGTCTTATTTCCTGATGTTTGGACTCTTCTCTGACTGACTAACAGCAATGCTGCTCTGCAACATTGATGGTAAAAATGGTAAATGGTCTGTATTTGTACAGCACCCTAGGGTTCTACACACCCCAAGGTGCACTTCACAACACAATCAGTCATTCACCCGTTCACACGCTGGTGGGGATGAGCTATGATGTAGCCACAGCTGCCCTGGGGTGCACTGACAGAGGCCAGGCCTGCTGAGCACTTGCTCCACCGGTCCCTCTGACCACCACTGGCATGATGTTTTATCTCCACAAATAACAAAAGCCAGGAGAAGTTCTGCTGTGTGATGGAGTTGCTGATTCTAATGGTTAGCTTTTTCTAATCATCTTCCTTTTTCATATTTAACACAGTGTAGTAATTTGATGTTATTTTACCTTTGGCTGACATGTTTTGGCCAGAACTTCCGCCTTAGTCAGAGCCGCCAGCTGTTCGTGGCGTCACTTCCGTTTATGTGCGGGCAGCAGAGGACGATGTCGCCCTCTGCTGCCCGCATCCTTCATGCTGATAGCACAGTCCCATGTGTGATCCAGCATGTAAACACCGTGATCTCTGTTCATGGTGTTGTGCCTGCATCTCCTTATCTCTATTGCTTCCTTAAGGTTGGTTTATGCTTGATGCGTCCGCGAGGTTCGGATGGCTCCGCGTGGCGAAATTGCATCATTTTAACAACCACGCCCCTCCACCGCGCCTCCGCACGGCCCCAAACTTTCCGCACCTAGGAGATTTTCTAACGACGCAGACAGTCGGACGCGGAAAAACTTGGCGGACTGGCAAGAACTAGTATGGCAGAGGTTCGTAAATACAGACATTTGTATGATTCAGCTCTCAGAGATCACCGTGATCAACATGTTGTTAATAATTCTTGGAGAGAAATTGCTCGCACTGTGTAATTTCTCCTTCTACTATGGTGTAGTGTTGGATGCATGCCGTAGAGCTCCATGCTGCCCCCTACAGTTTGGGAGAATATTGGCTCACCGCAGAGACAAGCCGCATGAACCATAAACGCTGCAAGTTGTGAAGCGCGTTCCATCCGCGAGCCGCATCACCACGCGGAAAGTGAATGCATCAAGCATAAACCAAGCTTTAATCCATTTTTGTTTTTTCCATATTTGTGATCCGTGCACTGTCCCAATCCAGTATGTGATTCTCCCTTGTGCAATGGTCCGTGAAGGATGTGGGCAGCAGAGGGCAGCATCGTCCTCTGTTGCCCGCACATAAACAAAAGGGACACCACAAACAGCTGGCGGCTCTGACAAAGGCGGAAGTTCCGTCCGAAACTTGTCAGCCAAAGGTAAAATAACATAAAGTGACTGCGCTGTGTTGAATAAGAAAGAAGACGGTTATGAATCAAAGCACAGAACGAACATTCAGAATAGCTTCTTGTAGTTGAGACGCCCTCTGCTGTTTCCTGGACGGTAAACCAACAGCAGCCTTCCCCGTCACGAGTCAAGATGGGTGAGTCCATGAATGTCCATCTTTTCCCAACAACCTTGTGAAAAAAGATCTCTAATCAAGTATAAAAGAAAGCCCATCCAGGAATCTACAGACGTACGTGTCATTCACTGAGAATCCTGCTTTTAATCTGCGGCGGGGGAAAAAAAAAAAACTATTAACTGAAGTTGGCAAGAGGAGATTTAACAGAAGATTAGCGTAGCTTCCAGGCTACCATTAAATACGGGGCCTGTTTAAAGTTCAGTCTTTTACTACAGCAGACAAACACAGCTGAACGACTCTGAAATGAAAGCTGCTTTGTGTACGTGAATATCATTAATGCCAGAGAAAAACAGGCCCCACCACGCCGGAGGCACTGTGTAGCGGTGAGGAAGACAATAACACATGATAATTAGCAGGTAAGACTTGATCAAGCAGCAAAAAAACACCCTGCATGTGTGTTCCTCCATCCTAGACAGAAGGGGATCTTTTCTCTAAAGTTGTGTTTGTGGGGTGAACCTTGAAGCAGGAACATTTTCTTCAGATGCAAAGACATCCGGCTGATCTCACCTCTGTAGACTCCATGTTTTCTCCATTTTTCATCCATCTGTAGGAGGGTTTCGGCTTCCCCGTGGCTTTGCACTCCCACACCAGAGAGTCATCGATGAGCTTCTGGACATCCTGGGGCTTTTCAATGAGATGAGGTGGAGCTGGAAACACGAGAAGCCACAGTAAAGTGGTGGATCAGTGACCTCCTCAGGATGCCACACAGAGAGGAGAATACATTTTAAAAAGCACCAATATAGTGAATTTTAAATAAAACCTTTTCATTTTCACATTAAATTTCAAGACCGTTTGGGCTGTTCCAGCTCATGTAATGAGCTAATGTAAAGGACTGTCGTGCATTATCATGAGGAGTGATTGTTGTTTATTTTGAGCTATTAATCATCATATGTAAATCCATTCATCCATCCATTTTCCGACGCTTATCCAGAATCGGGTGATGAGGGCAGCAGCCTACGCTGAGAGGTCCAGACTTCCCTCTCCCCAGACACTTGGGCCAGCTCCTCTGGAGGAATCCTAAGGCGTTCCCCGGCCAGCCAAGAAACATAGTCCCTCCAGCGTGTTCTGGGTCTTCCCTTGGGTCTCCTCACGGCTGGACGTGCCCCGCATCCCTGGCACTTCCCAGCTCCTCCTGGAGGACTCCAAAGCATTCCCAGGCCTGAAAGGGTGAATGGTCCCTTTGGGATGTGCTGGGTGTCTACTCCTTATGGAAAACTTCTCCAGAGGGAAGCGACCAGGCGGTGCCCTAATCAGATGCCTGAAACACCAAAAACCGACTGATGAGCGGTAATGAGGGTATTGCTCCAGCCTGTTCTGTCTGATGTAGGAGCTACGCTGAGAAGCAAAGCTCTTAAATCAGTCCTCCATCTAAACCGTCACCCATGGCCACGACGTTTGGGTTGTGACTGAAAGATCCATTCATAAATCGCAGTGGGACGGTGTTCTGTTTCATTTGTGAATCCAGGAGGATCTGGAGAGAATCGCTGGAGGGAGGGATGTGTGGACTACCCTCCTGGATCCATGTCCTGAACTTGGAAAACTACAGTAAACGTGGAGGAACCACCTGGTTTTCACTGATATACAATCTAAAGGCTGGTCATCATGTCACTTCTGTTTCTCCATTCAGGCCATGGATGTAATTTTGGGGGGGAACAGGGGGGACATGTCCCCCCCCCCACTTTTTCCAAAGTCAAGGTTTGACCCCTGCACTTTTTACCATCAAAAACAATATTACGCTATATTAAATTGACACTGGTTGAGCTGTAGGACCAAGCAGAAAACAACCGTTTGTGTTGAAGCCTGTTTCCTATTAGAACATACCGTAAAGATACCCCCACTTCTTAAGTGAAAATTACGTCCATGATTCAGGCTGTGAATTCAGCCGGAGGAAAAACAACAAGAACACGTAGACGTTTAGAAAAAAGAGCTGCTTGTTACCTGACAAGAAGGTCAGTTCAGCAGTAGCACTTTTCGGTCTCTGTGTCCAGGTCCAGACTGACGCACAAGGTGAGTTTTTCACAGTTTCTTTTCCTTTCTTAGAGGGCTTGTACCTGAACAAAGGTGATGAATACTGGATCCATAGACATTATGGCTGCTCCTGGTGCCGTAAAAGCCTCCATTCAATGCAACCTCAGTAAATGATGGTATAATTATACAGGAGGATTGATTCTCTCGGTGACATGCACGTAACTCAAGGCTAGTTGATGATTAGACCAACATATAGCTAGATCTGTTGGTATGTGATGCTTCTCAGCTTCCTCTTGATGTTCAGGTGGAGACACGGCCATCCTCTTTCGCAGAAGGCAGCGTTAGATGAAAGGCTGGAGGTGCTTTGCCCTTCAACAGGCCGCTCCTAATGCCACTCTCAAGGACTGACCTTTGTCAACACTTTTCACCAACGTTCCTCACTAATCAGCTTTTGCTGTGCAGCTCTCGCCTTTGAGTGAAGTAGGACGAACCCAACAAGCTCTAAACACACATCTGTGCTTCCGTGTGGTCAGAAGTGTGTGTTTGAAGGAGGCGAGCTACAAAAGAACAAACGACGCTTACACGGAAACCAGAGGGCAGTCTGCGGATTGTTGAAGTCTTAGACGAACTCAACATGAAAATTCATTCTGGTTCAGAGAACTTTGTGTCTGAACATCTTGTTTTGCTCTTTGAGTTCCCGCTGGCGGATGAGGCGGCTCAACAGGGTTAGGTGAGGTTGTTAAAATTTTGCTTGCAGAGACAGTTTCTTCGCCATTTGCTGGAACAGTCAAAGAGTCGGGGTTCCTTTTTACTGTTGAGGCTAAAAGATAAATCTGTTATTTACTTCTGACAAGAGAGGCAGAGTGTTGACATCTGCGATACAGAATTAACTCAAACCAGACATGAATTTAGTCACTATGGGTTTCAACAAATCTCTTTTCAGTCAGTGGTTTAATGGCACGGAGATCTTCGTGCAATTTTTAACATTAATCAGCTTAAGTAAACACGTGAGCATGGTTTAATTTACTATTTTCTGTTATAAAAATAAAAAAAAAACCTTCAAGACACTTCTGGTATCCTAAAGGGCTTTTTCCTCCTGGAAGGAACAGCAAAGTGAAAAGAAAAGCCTTGGGTTGCAGGTTCAAGCCCCATGCTGCTGTTGTGTCCTTAACCACGTTGCCTGCTGGTGGTGGTCAGAAGGACCGGTGGCGCCTGTGCTTAGCAGCCTCGCCTCTGTCAGTGCGCCCCAGAGCAGCTGTGGCTACATCGAAGCTCATCCCCACCAGCGTGTGAATGTCTGAATGATTGTGTTGTGAAGCGCCTTGGGGGTTGTACATCCTTAAGATGGTGCTACATACAGGCTAATTCAGTCCACATATGCACACGTTTGTTTTCTCTCCAGGAGAAACATTGCTGAGATGTGAGGAAACGTTCCAGATATCAAATGTAGCTTGTAAATAATCACAGTCTTCATTTAATCTGTTTCATAATGAAGTAACATCAGTTTTGTCGCAGTTCTCCAAAAATACTTTTGTAGATCTTTCTGATCTTTACAGACTTCTCCATCCCTTTGTCTTTCAGCGTCAGGACCACGTGTACCGCTGCTCCTAAACAGAGACTACCAGCATGAGAAGCCTCGCTCGCGCTGCCATTTGGGACTTGACTTTGTCGTCGTTGCTTTTTCCATCCTCACTGTCAGGGCTGCTCACTCTATCCCTCACCTGGTGCGAACCTATCGACTCTCAGTCAAAGCTCACCAAATGAAAGCAGGCAGCCCATCTCAGCCTGCACCGGGCCGAGCGAGCACACAATCAGGCCGGACGTCAAGGGGCTAAAGCACAGGAAAGATGGGAATTTACCTTATCAGTGAAATCACAGTGAAATAATGCAGCCGTACGTCTGCAGAACCACTAAAGGGTGGAAAACGAAGCTGTCGCAGCCCTCGTCTGCGTAATAGTGGCATCAAAAGCAAGAAAACTGTTGTTTCTTCTCAAAGTCCAAAACATTCTAATTAAAATGTTGTTTTTGTTTTTTTAACAGTGCAATAAAGCCACTTCCTGCCTCCCACAAAGAGCACGACTCTTTCCACTGTAGTGTGTGAGTCGCTACCTTATCAATCCCCTCCACTGGTGTATGCTGCCAACAAATGTCTCAAAGGCTCAGTTCAAAGAAAGTTTAAAATAAGATTTTTATCACCTGGCTGCAGGAGGAGATATAGAGAGAAGCTGACAAAAGACATCAAAAAGAAGAGACATGAGTCAGCTCAGAAGGACAAATAAGGGCTCGATGGATCCCAGATCGTCTCTCTGCAGACGCTGGGTTTATGTTGTAAACAACGGCAAATTTCAAAAGTCCCAACTGAATTATACCTCTAAAGCTGACACAGCAGGAGATACGTTACCCATAATTACAGAGACACGGTCTACTATGAGCTGCAACATGGAAACTCTCTGACTTCCCATTGAAATGATGATGTGAGTAAAAAGTCATATTCCCATTTCCTCTCTCCCTATAAGTACAATCAAAGGTCTTTATTACAGTTTTGTCAGACATGTTTCCTTTGTGTGTTTCTGAGTTTCTCCTTCTTACACACTTCCTGTTTTTCTGACTGTTAACAACGCAGTGAGGTCCCACAGGGTTCCATGTCAGTTCCTCCCGGCTTTATTTTAGATTTATGAACGGATCTGATTTCAGATTTTGTTTTTATCCAGTCATGGTTAAGGTAATCTCTTTTCCTGTATTCAGATCCTTCCACACCCTAATTGTATCCACCTATGACCCTACCTGGTCATCCCTCTTGCCAGTTTGAGTAAAGCATTCCATCTTTACATGTCTTGTTATTTTACTCTGGCAAACTCTAGTCCTCCCTTCTGTGCCATATGACATAGCGCAGGTGGACATGTCAGCATAGTGTGGCTATAAATGGCCTCATTCACAAGTTATTCTTTCCATTTTTGTTTAGCTTGTTTTGTTGTCATCTGTTCATCAAGGTCCAGATTTTGAGGGCAGTAGCCTATGGTTGTCATCTCCCCTGGTACTTCCACCAACTTCTCCAGTGGGATCCCAAAGCGGTCCCTTGCCAGTTTTGAGATATAATCCCTCCATGGGCCCTGGATTGGCTCTGGGGTCTCTGTCCAGAAGGCCATGGTAAAACTCGTTCCCCAGGAGATCTCACCACATGCCTAAACCACTTTATCTGGCACATTCCAACATGGAGGACCAGCAGTTCTGTGGAGGAAACTCATTTTTGTATTTGTGATGTCATTCATTTACCCATTACCCAAAGCTTCTGACTACAGGTGAGGGACGGAACACAGCTACTTCCATCATCTCAGACCAGCTCCTCCACTTGAGGCAGTGCCTCCCCATTTTTGCTAACTCTAAATAGAACCTTCTGGATGATCCGAAAATGATCTCACTCTAAAAAAAAAATCCCTGTTAAATTACGGTTAACTACTGGCAGCTACTGACCGACACAGTGGGACCGACTCAGTGGCCTAGTGGTAGAGTGTCCGCCCTGAGATCGGGAGATCAGGGGTTCGACTCCTGGTCGGGTCATACCAAAGACTTGGAAAAAATGGGATCCAATGCCTCCCTGCTTGACACTCAGCATTAAGGGGTTGGATTGGGGGGTTAAACCACCAAATAGTTCCCGAGCGCGGCTTGTCTGCAGCTCACC